TCAAACCAGTCTGGCGATTCTCCATGAACCTCTCTCAGAAACAAGGCATTTCTACACAAAGGCCACTCACTGTACGTTTTTTCTTTATTGCGCCATTCTGAGTAAACTATAGAAACTGTTGAGAGTAAAAATTCCAGGAGATCAGCAGTTACAGAAATACTCAAACCAGCCTGTGTGAAACCAACAATCATGCCGCGGCTGAGGTCACTGAGATCACGATCTTTCCCCTTTCTGATGGTTGATGTGAACACTACCTAAAGCTGCTGGTCTGCATCTGCATGATTTTATGCATGGCACTGTTGCCACATGACTGGCTGATTAGATAATTGCACGAATGTGTAGGTGAACAGGTATTCCTAATCAAGTGCTCAGTGACTGTATATATTACCCAGTGTTTACCCTTTCACTGAAATTACTGGATGGGCCTTCTCCTCAGCAAACAGAAAGGGGCAATGCAACCACAACAATACATTTCTCTAATTGGCTGCACTTTCAGAGGTCAATGGTAAACGCTGTGAAAATCAAATTTGATTAAGCTCTGGGCAAAACGACAAGGTGTGAAATGCAAGTGGTGTGTGATGTGCATGACCAGTGCAGCGCTGCCTCTAGGTCAGTGGCTCCCAACCCTGGTCCTGAAATAGTTTCAATCAGAGACTCTGCTTAGAGCACAGGGAGGCAGAAAGAGAGGAGTACATTTTCTTTACTTGTACATACAAATGCAGCAACACAGGCAGCAATCAGTAAGAGGACTAGGCATATGTGCGAACATATAGCTGTAAGACACTCAGTAACAACTAAATGTTAGATAATGTGTGCCACAGATCACACACATCACAGTAACAACATCTGTTACATATTTTAATAGCACTTTGACCCAAAGCAGCGCGACAAAGATACAAAGAAACTGCTAACGACTCAACGCTAAACACAGCAGGCTACAAACCAACACCTTACTACTGCTTATATCTGTAAAAGTGAAATAAAGTAATTAAAATAATGTAACTCTTGGCTTTTTCCCTAATGCAGCAGTTAATGTCTGCATACCTGTTATGTGTGTTGAGTATGAGAGAAGTCTAAAACTCTTCATTAACTTCATATGCACATAACATTCTCCTCCAAAAACATGCCACACAGTCAAAAGAATTTACCCCTATCTCATGCAGCCCTCATGCCTTGGACAATCTTCCCCTTGGTTGTAACAAAGAGATTTGCATGCTAGCCAGAGGAGACAGATAACTACCTGCATGTTTCATTAGCACACCATGGAGAGAGAGAAGCTTAGAGGCCGAATTATAGTAGACATGTTTATATGGGATTTTTTTTTTTTTTTTAAAAGAATTAGTTTCTTAACAGTTCATAATGATGTAGCAAACAATACACAGTGGTCAGGCAAGGATGTAGCAATAAATACACAGCGGCCTAGCCTTGGGCAAAAAACATTTTACCCATAAACCAGAAAAGTGTTCTTATACTTTCATAAGACAACCATACATTCAGGTGGGTAAAGTGCAATTTTACATTAAGACCAACCACCCACAGAAATACACACGGTAACCTTCATACAGTAACTCGGAAAACTATGTAATTGGGTGTGTTATAGAAAGACTTGTGCAAGCCAGGTAATGCCAGAGTTTCAAGGTACTTGAAGCAATAATTACATTCTTTTGTATACAGACACAAATAATTTAGTTCACACAAGGCATACACCTTTCATATCATATACCTTTGCTATAAATCACAGTTTCAAAGTCCATTACTGACATACAGCATAAGAATTCCATCTCACAGAGAGGTCAAGACAAACTGAAGCATTCTCTTTATGAGCCCTTATTGGAACAGGTCTCTCAACACCACTCTTAGAATGACAATATCCATAAGCAATGTCAGAGATTCTGCTGACAGGCTGTTGATGCTGGAACAATAAAAGGACACTATGATGAAAGAACAGAACTCTTGCACTACAGGTATGCTGACCGGTGTATCTTTCTACATGTGTCAAATGCAAAATTTAGGTAATATCGTATTGTGTACTGTATACAGTGATGGTGCATTAAATGTACTAAAACATAAATATGTATATATAAGTATAAACTGCAGAACTCTTCAAATAGTTCTCATGTGTAAACACATGTTGCCAATGATGTATTCATTATATCGATACACGATTTCTAACTTCAATGCAATGAACAACGTCATATAAAAAGTTATAAGACACTGAAATTAGCGTTAACCTAAATTTAAAATCATTTAAATAAAGTTGGTCATGCAACATATATACATATACTTTTTAAAAAATGTCCCATTTCCATGCAATTGCCTTTATATGAAAAGCTTCTCAAGGGTGTAGTCGATGTTACGCTTTTTTATTTTTCCTTGCATTTTTTTGTTTAAGACTTACATTTCTTACTAATTTGCCTTAAACATTATAGAACAGAAATCTCAGAACATTATAAAATCCAAAGCTAAATACAAAGCAACAACTAAGCCACCTGGCATGCCCCTAAGTTCTGACAAATTAGGATATTTGGCATGTTGAACATACTCCCCCATCTCATCTCACTCTATCGCTGTCCTTCCTTCTATCTATCTCCCCATGCTTTCTTCCCTTCCTTTTCACATTCTCTCAGAAATCAGACACAGTGAGCAACTCTGATTTAAAACAAGACTCCTCTTTCAGGGGGCACATAAAGAATGGAGGGCATGGGCCATGAGATCACTGACCCTCACAAAGAACGCTTTTATTTCACTCTACAACCTGCTGAAGATTGCTTAGGCAAGAGGAATCTACAGGGTGTAACTCAGGTGCCTAAACCATTCATACTAGACAAGCTAGACAGAAATATCCTTGTAGATTAATAAGTTACTTAAATGCAGTAAGTCCCGCTGAGTACACAGTCCAACTGGTTTACGTCATCAAGAGTGCCATTTTTAGTGCTATTATAATTATGTTTGGGAGAACTGGAATAGTTTTTCATCTGTTATGGGTAAAGTGTTAATTTTTTGATGTACTGATTGTATTTGAAATGCAAAGTTATTTAAATAGTGGTAACATCTGACATTAGTTAACATCTGACATTAGCATAGGTCGCTCAGCTGCCTGTACTTCATGTGAGAGTGGAGAGAACATAACCTGAGCAAAATCATTCCTTAGACTTACACAAAAAGGCATTCAAAAAAACTTCTGAAAGCAGGTCTTTTTTCTGCCAGATATACTCTTTTGTGTCCAAGTATTGCAAAAAAAACATTTTCTCCTGTGGAGCAATTAAGACTAAAGCACTAAGCAGTTCCATATTTAGACAGCGCTGGCAGGGTTGGGTGTGTGCGTGCGGCGAGCGTGCTGTCTGAGTCACAAGCTTAAATGCCTGGCTCAGATCACTGGCACAGACATGCTGCCAGCACAAGGAGAAGGGTGGTGCGGAGGGCAATTCACTCACAGAGACAAGTGCAGAATTTCTACAGGTGATCGCGACATCCCAGAAAATCAGACTACTTTACAGTAACAGCTGTATTCAAGACATGTCTGTTTGTACCAGTAAAACCCAAGGCTGTCAAAATGGCATGCATGCAAGTCAGTAATCTCTTAATTACCAACCTCATGTTTTTCATTTATGTATTCATCTTGTGACATGTTAAATTGATCCTGATATCAACTTTCTATTCTGTTCTCTAAATACATTCTTCCATTTAGACAGTGATAGAGCTTGCATGCTGACAATGTCACTCAAGCAGCAGGAACATGAAATGTTCTTCAAAGCATGGATTTATCTCCACATCTGCCCAGTGGCTGCTGTTATCTGATAGTGGTTGGATCCACCACATGGGACACCGTGAACTGCAAATGCTCATCTCTTTTAATCCTCCTGCATTGTGTATCTGTTGCTTTTTGATGTTGGCAGCAGGTCCTGTTTTTTTCATTACTTTGCCCACAAACTCTGATTCTTCCACACATCCAGCGAAGTACAAGTTTAGACTTACCTTTAAGCTTTCACTAAATTGAGGTTTCAGAAAACTTCAACCCTGGAAAGATGTTAAAGTTGAACTTTGTTGATACCAAAGCACCCATGACTTTGGAACAAATACATGCCATCAAAGACAAGCCTGCGTCAGCACATGAAAAAAGTCCACCCCTATGATCCTGTTCAGGCAGCATGTCTGAAAACTTTGGCAGAGACGATCCAGATTGTCTGCCCCACACAGAGAGTGATAGAGAATAGAAAGCATATTAAGGTGGTATCTGTCTGACCCTTTGGATCATTCAAACCACTCTCTGCTCTAGCACAGACAATAGCCACAGCTTTAGCAAATGACTGACTTCAGACAACAAGCAAATCAAGCAGCCTGCACATACAAGATTTATGACAGGGGACATAAAGGCCGCCCACGAGGAGTATCAACAGTGATTCTTTAGACTCTCATTGCAGTGAACTCTGCAGGGTCACTTTTCTGAAGGGGGCCTCTCCACCACCATAAGGGCCAAGCCATAAAAATTCTAATTAAATGGGAGGCTTTGGGTGGGTTGGTTATTAGAGCAAGGCCGCTATTTCTTCATGGCTGTTGCACGTCATTGATTTACACCACAGGGTGCTGATGCTTAAGAACCAATCTTGCATGGTCCACAGCTTTATGGATCTGATTTTCTTTCATTAAATAAAGAATTTCAATGACTTAACCCATAAAGGCTTTAATCTTCTCACTAACACTGCCCCCAGAGCTTACACTAATCAGCAAAGCGCAGTTTGTTCAAATGCTACCTCCAACTGACCAAGCAAAACTGAGAAAGTGTCAGATCAAAACACAACTATACAGTATCTTAAAACATGAATAGGTTCATCTGAGATTAGTCAACTCATTCTGCATAATTAACCATGACAATGGAATAAGCAAAGACTCTAAGAGTGTCACATCGTCACATGCCTTACAGCCTTATTGTGAATATTTTAACAGCTACAATAAATCAGTCAGTTTTCACTTGCTAGAGAATCCATAGGAAACAGTCTTACCTGAAGATGCACATGGCTCAGACTGGTCTGTGGCTGACCTCTTCTTCCTTTCATGTTTGTAGAATAAATGAGGTTTACTGTGTTCCTCCTCATCCTCCTCACCATCACCTCTCATCAGAGGTTCTAAGAAATATTCTCCACTGTGGGTTGTAAATGTACCAATCTGCAAGGTCAAAGAAAACAGAGCACAGAGATTAGATGCCATTGTGTATATAATTAGAAGAGTCTCAACTTCAACATGTTTCATGTAACACATAATATAAAAAGTGTAAAAAAAAAGTATAAAAAGTGTATATATACATATATATATATGTGTGTGTGTGTGTGTGTGTGCGTACATACATACATATAAAAGCATAGCAGGAATTTGCTTCAGCAGCATTGTGTGTAACAGCCAGCATGCAAGAAAACAGAGGATATGTGCATCCAACATACAAAGATATGTAAACAAATTTGCTTGTACTTCAGACAAAAGATGAGTTACCAGCAGTGCATACAGTATATACATGATTGTGTATACACAAAGTACAGGGCTTACATTATATATACGTCATTATTACAAACATAATATTCCAGTGTTGTAAGGATATTCAGTTGTAGTTGAGGAGTTTACTGGAATATCACTGAAAACATGCCTATGTAAAAGAAATGAAATTGCGCAGATGTCATTCAAAACAAATCATTCAGTTTTAATATTACTACAACGTAATAGAGTAGTAACTATAGAGTGAAACAGAATTTGCTCACTTAGCTGAGTTGTAAGTGAAAAAAAAAAAACTTGATGGTCAGGCACACCATCACGGCAGATGACCTCAAACACTGCCCATGCATGTCAAAGAGCATTCCATGATCAGTTCATCAGAATGAATGTAGTCATATAAGAAAATGTCTTTCTTTTATTGGACTACATCAACATATATGAGGGCATGTTTCATGTAAATCACTACTGCAGCACCTCATCGCTGTTGGAACAAAACCTAACAAATAATATAAATGAAATAATAAAATAAAATAATCTTTGACTTGCTCAAAGAAACAACAACCTGACAGATAAAGATTGTGCTGTGTTTTTGTGTGTGTGTGTGTGTGTGTGTATGTGAATGGATCCATGTTTCTGGTGCAAGAGCAAGGTCTAAAACAACTGTTAATAAAATGAGCGTTTCGCATCATTTCACACCAAATATCTGCTCTATAAAAACAACAGCTTTTTCTAGACTATAATGTAGGTCCTACTTTGAGTGTAAAACTATTCAACAGTTTCAAGCTTCAATTTTAAACATAATCCCAGGACTACAATGCCTTTGTGAGTCCTAAATTGCATCACCAAGCTGGTTTTCTCCTCTGCATGGAGAAACACTGGAACAAATGTAATCTTCCACTTCCTGCATGTTTTGATCTTTACAATCCACATTTTTCTTTGTCACAAAACATGTGTGGATGACACTTGTAAAAATGTCTATATAGCTTATTTATGAGCCTGCTTTTTTGCCTACAAGCGATATGGAACAAAGAATATATGATGTAGCATGACTATCAATTAAATTTACATCTGCAAATGTTCACAGCTGCTTCTGGTTCTGAGTGGTTTGATTGATAGATCTTTGTTTTCTACATTGGAAAAGTGAAATCACGGCAAGTATGGCAAGTGCAATCATGCAATGCTTTAACATGAGCTCACTCAATCCTACCACAAAGGTGTTTACACTGTAATTTCATATGCTCACTTTAACAGGATATTGCTGGCTTGAACACTATCACTCTGAGGATTTTCCACTCACAGTAATGGTAGGAATTCTGACAGGGGAGCACATTGTGACGCAGCCTTGGGGATGGAAAGATGACATAACCCAGCCCGTGCACATGCTGTAAAAACACGTCTCTCACAGACAGCACAGTGACTGACACACACAGTCAAGTTAAATCTAATTCTATTTTGGTAAGTGGAAAAATCTGATCTATAAAAAATGCTTCAATAGACAGCATCATGTTTCTCTACCATATGGGCTCAAATTAACTCATTAACCCAGAAAACACCCCAGCAGCAACTATACAGCTAAACAGTCTGGTTCCGGAAGTAAAAATCCCATTCATCATTGTATGGAATTATATTTTTAACCACAAAACTACTGGTGTGTTCCAATCGGGAGGCAGCTGTCTAAGTAGGCAGCATTTTAAGGCAGCATTTGCGCACTCCTGAGGCGAAGCCTGTCCCATTCGGAAGGCAGCATAAGGCAACATGGTAAACACTGATAAACACGGAGGACAAAGCGGTCGAGGAGTTTATAAATGTAAGTTATTTCTTGATTTCTGTCTTTACTTTTTTGATTGATTGTTGTTTTTGTGTAAAGTATTTAACACATTTGTGTTTGTAGATCTCTAGAATTTCCTGTGGTATATTTTTGGCTGTTTGCTTGTTTAACGCAACCCGACAGGCTGCGTTTGTACCTCATTAGGTAAAGCTAACGTTAGGTAGCTTAGCTAGCGGACTAGCTGTGTAAACTGGCTGTTCACTGTTTACTAGCGCTTTTTATACGTAAATAATTTATCAGTTTGATTTTATATTCAGAGATTTTCTTCTGCCCTCAGGGACTGACGTTACAGCAGCGGAGAGGCACTGGCTGAGGAGCTGAGGAACAGAAGCTGGTACGGGGAGAAAACTGCGCTTAACGACTGAAAACAGCTCACTTAACCAGCCTACACTGGGGAAAACACTGTAGAAACAGCACTGCAGACTGAAGTTCTTCCTGAACAATAAAAAATACTTTTACTTACTGGACAATGTAGAAGTTCAGAAATAAAATGTTTTTAAAATAAATACCACAAATGCTTATTTTTGCCTGCTCTTCTTGTCTTGTATTGCTGTGATTATCCCAGTCACATCAGCGTTAGGTAAATGTTGACAGCTAAATGTCAGACTAGGAGCTCATAAATCTGATGAGAATGCGTAAAATAAAATGCATATTAGTCAGCGTAACAGATGGTGTGATCCTTTCTTCTAAGTGCATTTTGTCCAAAATTATATGTAGTTTTTTTCCTTTGTGTGTTAAAAATAAAGCAGGTTCATTAAGGTAGATGAGAATAGTGAATAAATTGAAATAATTCACAAACTAGTAATCACGATTATCTGTATTCGGGGCGCCGAGTCGAGTATATCACGACAGATACGACTCTTTAAAGCAGCCTGTTCATCTTATACAAATGTCCACAACAGTGTCAATGCAAGGAAAATAGCTGCTGCAGATTCGGAAGCCTTCCGTTTATACTGAGGCAATCCATCTTTACAGTCGGAGGTAAGTGTAAGCTAACAAGCAACTGTGAGTAAACAGATGAAACATGAACAGTGCAGTGAAACTTATGACACATATGATGGCTCTGAAGCACTGTCCCAAATGCGATGCCTACTAAGGTTCCTTTTCGGTTAAAATGCTGTCCAACAAGAGAGGTGCCTCTGAAGGCAGTGACTAGTTACACAGCTGCCTCCAGAATGGAACACAAGGGACAAAAAGGCAGTGTAAAAGACAAATGTTAATTAGTCAAATGTTAGATTACAGGCAGACTATCATGAACTACACACAGACCTAGCTATCGTGACAGGCGCCTGCACAACATACAAAGACATGTATATGAGACGAACATCGTAATGCATCTGCATAATTGATAATGACAATGTCATATATACAATATCACTAGCATCCAAAATACAAGATTTTATGATACAAAAGCTGGAAATTAAATAAAATAAATTGGTTATTAAAAAAAAAAAAGAAATAACTCTCCCACTCTCCTCTACCTTCTGTCCTACAGCAGGCTCCCCAACATAAACATACACATATAAATATAATGTCAAAGTTTCTTTACACCTCAAGTTCCACTTATACAGTAATCACATTAGCATACTAGTGACACTTTAACGAGTAAAATAATAAGATAGGCCATATGAAGATTAATATTATGGTTTTTAAAATCATTTTTTCACTGTACCATGACTGCCAAGCAATTTGATAGCAAATAAGGGAAAAAAAACAGAAACTACGAACCCAGAAAGAAAAAAAAGCAAACGTACATTCGTTATATTAACGATAATTAATGATCACAAATATATGCAGGAAAACAGTAGAAAGACTAATTTTGCTAAAAACGTTTTTAAGTTCAGGGAAAAACAAAATAATAAGTTATATATGGTAAAATAATAAAAGCTAGAAATATTTTATAGCTGATAGTATCTAAAGTGACAGATGTCTCCCATCGCTTCTAATCGATTCTGTCTATCCATCAATTCTACTTTGAAGACTGTCAGCAAAAGGTCCAAAGGCCAAGAGCGAGTCAAGTGACTTTAGCTTTATATTTCCAATGGGGACGTAGCAAGATTAGCAAAATTATTCTGATGTTTATATGATTTCCCGCCTCATATTTTAAATTCGCCTTTTTGTGGCTGTGATTCAGTAGAAAAGGACAGACATCCCTCGTGAAGGGGCGCTGATTCCAGTGGTTTTGTGAATCCGAAGCTAACCCTATCCTAGCACAGACAGCAAGCTGCATGCTCGCTGGTTTACAAACTATTTAACACCGGACACAAGCTTACGCTAACACTAGATTGGCTAACGCAGTGCTAATGTTAGTTAAAATCAAGTGAAACAGATTAACTTTACCAGATAGTTAGTTAGCTAACCGGCTCTTACTACATGTGACTTTTCTCGGCATCACCACTCCGTCTCGAACGTCCAAAAAAAAAAAAAAAGCAGACAGTACTGTCTGTTTTAACCTGCCTCGGTATGGGATAATGCTAGCTAGCTAAGATGGCTGTTGGATTGGGTTCCGTTGAGTTTCCGTTAAATTTTGAATTTTAAAACGAGGTCATGAGCGCGAGCTGCAGCAGAGCGTAGTGGCTCTACTGACGCCCACCATTAACAACGATTCAGCGCCATGAACTCACCTTAACCAGCATTAAAAAATAAAGCTGTACAAACCCTACTGAGGAAATACATCTAAGCTGCAGCTTAGTGTGATGGGCAAACCTACTATCATCAACGTATCAGTTTAATCTTAAGGTGGACCAACTGGACACGCTCATTCTTCCGCATTTTCCTAGTGCCATTTGATGCCATTTTAGCCAGGTCTGTGCAATTTCTATGTGACTGTTAACAAACTATGCTTTGTTTAAGTGCCTCATTTTGTCTTTACCACTCCTTGAAGTGAGGACCCCAACATCCCCATTGTAAATTATGCCTGATTTGTTTTTTTTTGTTTTTTTTTACGTCAGCATCCACACGAGAAAGTGTGTTGTCTACGGACAGATGTCTTCTGTTAAACTAACCTGATAGTAGTGCCTTATGATATGTGGATGCTACACTCATCAGTGGCTACACCAGGTTCAGCAGGTTCAGAGAGGGCTTTAGATGGTGTAAAAACTGTGAGTGAATGGCGAGGAAGAGGCTCTGGTTCCAGTGTATTCCCTGGCTGAATGGCTGTATGCATCTGTACACGAGGCCATCAGAAATCATCTTGTACTCTGGGGTTATTAAGTCAAGGTGCAGACAAGGACTGTCAGCTACGGCTTGAATGAGGCACAGACTCTGCTGCTATCACCAGATTTCATTACCAGAGAGGACAGGACGATTTCTGAGCTGATGTATAGGCCCAGCGTGCCCGAGGATCTCAATGTGTGTAGACATGTTAGAGTTGAGCAGTTGAGCTGCTACACTGACTCATACTATTACTGAACAAAACAAATAAAAAGTGTCAAAAGGACAAAAACTAAAAAGATATAAAACATCCAAAATTGAGCTAAACCTCCAAAATATCTTTACAATTGATTAGGTGCAAATCCAAAATTAAGTGAGTCCAGCAAAGTGTTCAGTTTCACTCCTCAGGTATCAGTAGCAGTGTTCACAAGTGCAAAGCCAGCTGCTGTTCAGGAATGAGTGCTGAAATGACATGTTTGAATGCAGCCTCTCCAAAGTACTTTGTACTATCACTGCTTCCCACAAACAATCTAAGCTAATATAGTAAAGGCGAATACTACATAGACTGCAGACCTAGGGGAACCTCAGTTGCTAATTCAGGCTGTTTGATACAAATGTGTAAACCTCATATTTCAAATAGTGCCAACAGTGCAGCTCTTTGCACTGTACACAACAGTGGGCATGTAATATCTGAGCCAGTGACCCAATGAAGGCTCATGTCAGATTTATGTCTTTGGTTTTTACAGCAAAGGAGGTGGCTTCTGTTTCAGTGGACTCACTGCCCAACCAGTAACACAATGAATAATCTGATTAAAATATGTATTTCATTTCTGAATTAGGAAAATATGATCGCTGTCAGAATAAAACCTCATATCCTCAAAAACGTAACTTTACAGGAGAAGGAAAAACCATAGGAGCATTTCTATTAGGTCATTCATTATAACACAATGCACAGAGTAACTGGAACTCAAATTATGCAATTTGAAGGCGTTCAATTTTTAAATCTCCAGAACTGCAATTTTATTTAGAGCCTACATTATCAAAAATGTTGTCTTAACGGGCTTCAAATGGGGAAATCTAACCTAATAACACAGAGCTCTTTTTGCTATGTGATAATCTGTCTTTATAATCATTATTCTAAATCCTTCTATTATATTCCTAAAAAAGCCAATAAAGACATTGTAAAAAAAGACTGTCAAGAAAGAAATTAGTTCCCAAAAATAAGCAATAAAGTTAAAAATGTTAATACACAATACAACATGATGCTCAAACAGAATAGGAATGCTTAAATGAGAGACTGTTTATAATGGTCGTGTCAGTGTCCTCTAAGAAAACAGAATGATGTATGGCCTGTTGATTTCCTCATGAGTTCATCAGAGCTAAATGCCTGCTGTCACTAGGGCCCTAATGCAGTACTGAGAAACGACACATTTATAACTTTGCATCCCCCAGCAATAGGAGTTAATGCCTCTCCCATTTACCTGCATGAGTGATCACCTTGCTAAGATATTTAATAAACAAATGGACACATACCAATAGGTCATGAGGCAAATCATCGAAGAGCTGATGGCTAGTGGCCAGTTAATTGAAAGCAAGTGACTAGCTTCAGCAATGTTTTAAATGCAGATAATTTGGTGGCATAAGACTAGTCAAAATGTTTAAAGAAAAGGATAAAAATAGAAGAAAAAACACAACTGCATACTATGGTTGTGCTATAAATGTTTTTCACTCCTGGTCCCAGAGCCCCCGTTCCCTGCAAATTTTAGTGCTTTCACTGTTCCAGCATACCCATGTTGATGCAAAACTGGGACAATGTGAAACATGGAGATGAGACAATGCATCATGGAGAACAGGCATTCTGTTTATTTTTGCATCTTACACAGTTACATTGTCTAAACCCCAAACTAGTACCAGTCAACACCACACTTTTCCTGTCTCGCAATTCTAGCCGCATTAGTAAGCTTTGCAACAATATGGATTCAGTCATCATTCTTCCTTTATTCAAATTTTAAAATATCATGGGAATACTGAATCATGAGCCCAGTATCACAAACAAGAGGTCGATGAAAAAAGCCCTATCCTTGTATGCACAAGTTTATAGGATGTCATCCCTAAATACAGTGGTATCTACCTTGTGTCTTACCCATACAAACTCAAAATAAAGACAGTGATTAACCCCTAAACCTTGTGTCTTTAGGGTTGAGTTCTTCATACTCATAACTACAGAACTTTCATTGTAGTGTAGTGTAGTTTCATAGTAGTGACCAACTAATAATTCTTAAAATAAATAACTGCATAATATGCATGAGGTCCAAACGGAAAAGCAAGAAACATGCCTTTTCCGTGTTGCAGAATGTGTCCAAGAAAAGAGAGTATGCATTTCTAATAGGCCACATGCTATCAGCTGTTACTTCAGAGTTATGTAGGATATCATTCTTCCAGGAAGGCTCACATTATCACCAACTGGCACCCTTGGAATGACTAACTTGATTCCCTCTACTCATACCTGAGTATCTACTCGATCATACCCCTATATCCTTTCGTCCTCATGCAAAGGACCACAGAACTCAGCCAAGACAAATTATCACTGAAACCTACTGGAAGAGTTCAGTGTGGCTCAGTGCAGCTGATGTACACACCATCTGTATGAAACCTAAACAGTAAAATCCCTAGTGTTGAATATAGTCTTAGAGTGTTCATTCAAGTCCAGCTGGTCTTACGTGACTACTGCCGTTCTAAATTATTTACCTGCCGTAACACCTCCTAAACTTGGCAGGTAACTGATGAGTTGAATCAGGTGTGTTTGAGCAGGACAACCACCAGAGTTTACTACCCCTGCAGTTCAGTATACGTTCATGCAGCACAGCAGATGTTGATTCTCCATTTGATTGTACACTGTTGATACTCATTCTACACTGTATGTTAATCATACCCTGGGGAATGTGCTGTGAGAACACTGCCACTCTCCTGTTGAGACTCACAGGACACAGGTCGTGTATCCTGGTGACCTCCCACCCCCAAAAATTACACACACACACACAGTTCTCCGGTGTGTGAGCTGTGGCCGCTTTACTCACCAGTCCCGTGCAAAGGCTGAAGACCGCTCGGTGCTCGCGTTTGCCGTTCACGTGGCCGGTGAAGAAGCAGTGGCGCAGCTCCTGCTCGTGCCCGTCAGCCGCCTCACGCCGCCCGCGCGCCCCCAAGTGCGTCACGGTGTACGAGGGCGCGATGAAGGCTGCGTCCGCGCTCAGGTTCAACAGGAAGCGCTGGCCGAACGCTTCGAGGCGGTAGTGGGCGCGTGAGGAGGGCGCCGCCACGGCCACGTCCGCGCTCCGCCGCCTCCTGAAGTGCAGCTGCCGCGGGAAAGACTCGCCGAAGTCATTGACCCGCACAGGGGTCACGATCTCATAGACCGAGAGCTGCTGGATGAAGCTCTCTGTGGGAAACACACAGACACCAGGCGCAGAGCAGCGACTTACTCTGGGCTTTTAAACACACCACAGATGAAGTGAGCGCTCATCCTATAATCTGTGAACTGCAGTGTCCAATCAACACCATAAAAGATGGTTCTTCAAGGGTTCTTTAGCAAAGGGAATGGTTCTGTATAAAACCATGAACACTCTAAGAACCATCTGCATGCTCAAAGGGGTTCTTTGCATCATGAAATGGTTCTTCAGATTGATGGAAATGGGTTTTAGCCTTTATGGTTCTATATAGAACCTTTCTGAAAGGGTTCTATGTAGCACCAAAATGGGTTCTTCTGTTCTTCAAGCTTGTAACAATGGAAGAACCCTTTGTGGTTCTTATATATGTATACAATACATTCTCCGTCAATCTGAAGAACCATTTCATGATGCAATGGACCCTTTAAGCATGCAACTGATTCTGTGAGTCTTCATGGTTTTATATATATCCATTCCTTTTACAGAGGAACCATTGAAGAACAGTCTTTTTTAAGAGTGTGGATATGATTTATGTTATTAATACAGCTGGTAAGAATTACTAGTTTTACTCATGTGAACCACTTGACACATTTACTTCTGTGTACAAATACGAGCCCAACTGCAGACTTTTCCCCCCAACGTGTGTTCTAAGGGCAAAGTTTAGAATGAATCAAATGGTCAGTCACTGCGCTTCAGTACACACATACGCGTAAAAATATAACCTATATGAGTTCACATTCGTAGGCCTACACACTTTGCTGACAGACTTCTAACCGTATTTTTGTGTGATTTGTGTTTCACAGTGCATGCTCTCTCCTGTGGGATACTTTTACTCCTCTCCAACCGCAACCAACACGTTGTTGGGATCGGGACCCCCCAAACCCAAACTAAAAGCACAGCAGCACTGCTTCAGCCAATCTGAGCTTCACACTCCTCCTACCTTGTTTTGGGTGCAGTCTGTAGGGCAGTGAGCTTCGGCCGAGCGCCGGGAGGTGACACACGAAGCCCAGCAGCCACACGGCGAAGCGCATGATGTCCTCGCGGCTCCGGTTGTGCCCCCCTCCACCTCCTCCTCCTTCTCCTCCCGGCCCTTTCAGGAGCACCGGCAGCAGCTCGCGGAGTCTTTCTGCACGGCTGAAGTCGCCAAGCGCGCCCGCCTCATCGCATTCACACCCGCACACACATACACACATCCAGCGGAGCCCTAGTAGTCTACTGCTAACTGCCGACACATTGCTAGTCGGTGCCTATGCAAGCTACGTCTAGGCAGAGGGGTCGGCGCTGCCAGCTCGACTTTTTTTCCCTTCGATATCCATAGGACGCCCCCCCGCCCCCCTTCCCCTTAAACTCAGAGCACTCACTCACCGACTCGAGCTGCAGGAACGCCCCTGAGCAGCGGGACCAATAGCGAGACCGGAGCACAGCTACTGCTGCTCAGTGCGCCAGCACTCAGATCAGCGCTGCTTTAGCTCCGGACTCAGAACACACCTCCGCTGGAGTCCCACAGCAGCACGAAGAGCCTGACCTCGGCCTGCTGGGCTTTATTCTGCGCTCCGTTCACACGATCGTCCTTGCCCTGAAACTAGGATAACACCCTTTTGAGTCGTTTTGCTGACTTAGTTAACTTGTTTCTCAGGAGGAATTCGTTCACCTGTTCCCATAAGAGTCAAGCTTTTGAGCAGGCTCGACCGAGGTTGCAAAGGTGGATGTGGAGCAAACGGTTAAAACGTGACTTCCTCTGGATGTGGTTGATGCGTTCAGTTTATGTTGTTCAAAAGTGTACGTCATCTCCAAAGTGCGAAATACAGGGGGTCCTGTGGGGTCTAAATGTCTCAAAATCTAAAAGGTACCTGAAAATGATGACGTTATGTTGTCTGTTAGAGAAAATTCAAATTCAGGAAAATGTCATTATTAGCTGCTTCACTCACAGTCAGCAAGTTTCTGTCTTTGGTATTCTTTACTGACTAGAGCTGCAACATTGGTCTGACTCAAGGTGGTGCTGTAGAAAACTGGTTCACCCAGTTGGTCCTTCATAGCCTAGCAACTGTAACTAGGCCCGAGATACCTCTGAAAAACTTTTAAATATCCCATAGCATAATTGCAAAACTTGCCCAATTTCCCAAGAGTTTGGTGGAAAGACTGAATTGAATGAATGAATTGTTACTCATTTCTCATCAGAAGACCAAAGAGGAGTTGTGGACGATCTCAGCTGATGATGTGTGGAAGAGCGTGTTACCAAACTAGAAAAGAGCATTTCCAAAAGAAGAATTGTTAAACCAAACATTTTGCTGCCATTGAAGCTAGCATCAGTGCCTCTATGGCTAGTGAGTTAGCAGCCAGCCAACATGGGACCACCTGAATACCACACTGGTCATCTCTGAATGAATGTAATGCATGTCATCAACACACTTATTGCCGAAGGGAAGTAAACTGAAAGACAGTATTGTTGTGACACCTCAGTTCAATGTAAACAATTCTAAGCAATTCTGATTAAAAAAAAAGCTGAATTCACTCAGAACCACAGCACAGAGCCATGCATAGGAAAATCAGCTAACTGGAGTATTGAAACATTTTATAAATTACTTCTTTTGTCTAAAAGACTGCAGTAAAATACCAAAAGCACCAAAAGCTGTGAGGAACAACAGGGACAATCTTTAGTGACTTTAACTACCAGCAGAATACTCCACATTAACATTTCAGCTCCATAACAGACATAAAAGACAGCACAGTAAATAATACAAAGGTAAGGGATGAGGGATGGTAAAAGGGTGGTGAAAGAAAAAAAAAACTTCAAACAATCCAAAGCTCCCTCCCTTATCAGTTAAACATGGTGGAAGTAGAGCCACGGTTACTATATGTGATAGCCACTGGCTAACTCTTCTTAACAGACAATGCAGTAGAGATGAAAGGAATATAAATACCTAAAAGAATAACTTGTAGTAATGCTTACAGACTCAGTAGGCCGCTAGGTCACTTCACTATGCAGAAAAAATGATCCAAACTGGATTTCATTACTGGTAAAACTGTAAATTGTGACAAAGAGTCTGTGAGGTGTATGAGGAAGCTATGAGGCTGAGTTTTGAGAGATTTTGCATAGGACTGCCAGGGGTTGTGTGCAGGTTTACGATACACATACGTGTATCTTTCTAGTTCTTTATTGCAATACCTCTTGTAAAGTAGCTATTTGCTACAGGTTGGGTTCCCTCGGGCCACTGTTAGATGAGATATTTAGCATGTTAAACTCATTCAGTACCCCCCTTTGACTTCATAAATGAGTAAGATGCCTACAGAGGCTGTAAATTCAATTTCATCCAAGCGTGTGGAGTGTTTCATTAAGAGAATGTTCAGAGATGCTCTTGGGGATTTTTATCCCAGCCAGATGTTCCTCTTAATGAGGAGAACAGCGTCGTGGTTTCCTCCTACAAGTTGGTATATGTGTCTGGAAATGTTTATGACAACTTCTGAAAGGATCATCAAAAATACACGCAGAGGCAGACCAGCATAACGCAGACCTTCCCACAACCTTTGCAGGGAACTTTCTAGTGCCTAATGGCTACAAAAACACAGTATTAATCTTCAATTTCTGTTTGTCTTTTAGCTTTATTGCAGTCTGTTGCTTAGTGACATTGGAGGACTATTTAAATGCCATTCTTAATTTTTCACTACAAAGCAAGGTGCCAGAAGCTTAGTTAACCAGATTCTACATGTCATTGTCCAGTGCTGTTCAGACTCTATGACTTCCACATGTGGAGCTGCTTGTTGTCATATGATGGAACACTCTACAGCCTCTCCTCTCTTGACCTTTGACTTTGAGTTGAACCTCAGCAAGACTCTGGGAAACAAGGAGAAAGTGAAGTGGTCAGTGTTCCAGTGGGACACTTAAGAATTTTGTAGAGCTGCTTTTAGGTGTTAGAGTTAAGAGTTACTTACTTAGGTCAAATATATCAATTAGGTTTTCTGATGACAATACTGGAGATGGAAATGAAGCCCCAAATGAAAATGTTCATTCTACAGTTCATTATGAACCAAATATGACTATCTTCTATAGCTGGTTTTAACAGTTCACTACACTTAAATGGCCCCATAATCAGGGGTGGTCAGATGTAAAGCTTTTGCATTCACCACTCTGGCCTAATAATAGAATAATAGAAACATGTTTATCACATACATTGTATTTACAATTAAAAAGCATGATTTAGTACCAAAAAACAGTCAAGTATTGCTTTGAAAAAGGAAATATTTATTAAAACTTTACGTTAATAAGAACAAGACCATAAACAAGACCATAATGGGGGACCATGCCTAGCTGGTTTGCCCTGACATCATTCACTCTCATTTATGTCAGTGCAATGCCAGCTTTTTTTAACATTTTACATTATTTAATGCTTTATTTCATAGAGCGATATTAGCAAACTTTAGTCAAAGTAGACAGTAGCCATGACACACTGCACAGCCCTGATCTGAATCTGAATATACACTGACTCTGAGTAGAGCACACTTCTAGCACTTCACTTCTCCACGTTTGCCTTTATGACTCTACAGGTCTTTTAAAGTGCATTGTATGTATACATTATAATTTGTACACCAACATATCCTACTTACTCATCCAATCATCTGTCCAATCATGTGGCAGTAATGCAGTGTGTAAAATCATGCAGATACAGGGTCAACAGCTTCAGGTAATGTTCACATCAGCCATCAGAATGAGGAAAGAACGTTATCTCAGTGACTTTGACCATGGCATGATTGTTAGTGCCAGACGGGCTGATTTGAGTATTTCTATAACTGCTGCTCAGCTGAGGTTTTCACGCATAACAGTCTCTGAATTTTACACAGAATGGTACAACAAAGAAAAAGCATCCAGTGAGTGGCATTTCTGTGGATGGAAATGCCTTGTTCCTGAGAGATGTCAGTGGTGAATGGCCAGACTAGTTCGAGCAGACAGAAAGGCTACAGTAACTCAGATAACCACTCTGTACAATTGTGGTGGTGGCCATCTCAGAATGCACACTTCAAACCTTGAACAACAGCAGAACAGCAGAAGACCACGTCGGGTTCCACTTCTGTCAGGAACAGAAAGCTGAGGCTGCAGTGGGCAAAGGCTTGTTAAAACTGGACAGCTGAAGACAGGACAAATGTAGCCTAGTCAGATGAATCTCGGTTTCTGCTGAAGCACACAGATGGTAAGGTCAGAATTTGCAGCCAGCTACAGGAGTTCATGGACCCTGCCTTGTGTCCACAGTTCAGGCTGGTGGAGGTGGTATAATGGTGTGGGAAGTGTTTTCTTTGGACCTGTTAATACCAGTCAATCATCACTTGAATGCCACAGACGATTTGAGCATTGTTGCTGACCATGTACATCCCTTTATGGCCACAATTTACCATCTTCTAATGGCTACTTCCAGCATGATAATGCACCATGTCATGAAGCAAAAGTTGTCTCAAACTGGTTTCATGATCATGACAATGAGTTCAGTGTTCTTCCGTGGCCTTCCCAGTCACCTGATCTGAATCCAATAGAATACCTTTGGGATGTGGTAGAACAGGAGATTCGCAGCATGAAAGTTAACCTAAAAAATTTGCAGGAATTGCATGATGCATGCATTCATATCAACAGGGACCAGAATCTCGGAAAAGTGTTTCCAACATCTTGTGGAATCCATGCCACAAAGTATTGAAGCTGTTTGGAGAGCAAAGGGAGGCCCTTCTGTAATATTAGTATAATGTTCCTAATAAAGTGCTTAGTGAGTGCAGATATATATGTAACAAGATTTTGACACAATATAAAGGAGATACACAGTTTTATTCACCTTTGAAATGGAAAACCTGTTGTTTATGGTTCTTCAAACAGCTTGTTTTTAAAATATAAAAGAGTTCTTAAATAGTTATGAAACATAGAACATTTTTGGAGCTGTATTTTTTTGCTAATACTGTACTGCAGGAAAATCTTGTATGTAGCATTCATTATTGACTCCACATAATAGTTCTACATATCATGGCATGTGGTTTAAACTCAAATTACAGCAACAATCTGTGCATTTATTTGGTGAATTACACACATTAGTTACACATTGAG